GCGGAACGAATTAAGTTCGTGACCCGAGGTACCACTGTACTATGTTAAGCATGAAAGTTGAGTTGGCATGTAAAACATCTAAATAAGGACATATAAATTGTAAGTAAAAACATATGAGTTTAGGTAAAACAGTACGCTATATTACATGTTGAAAGTTCCTTCCTAGACAGCCGGAAATGTCTAACTTTGGATCAGTTTTGAGAAGGACTTATTAAATGGAGTAGGTTCTAAATGAACCAATATTTTCTAATATTTGTTTTTTGAATTGTGAGACTTGTGGAAATAAGCACTATTATATACAATGGGACATTTCTGTTTTTTCCGTAACATATTTGCACAATTAAGTCTGCCTTTATTTCCTATAATTTGAGAATTCATGAGTTGGATCTTAATTGTATAGGAAAATACCTTTATTAAATAGTTCTCCATAGGTCATCCTAGAGGAATGTTATAACTGTGTAACAAAGTAGCTACTCCTGCAACTACAGAGTACCGAGACTGCTCCTTGAGCTATTATCAGCTAGTTTCACCTATATTAATAACAAAAATGCAGTAATTTATCCTTCATGTTCTTGAAAATGTATCTTGATAACTTACCATAGCTAGTATTGTGTTGGAAAATTAAAGAATTTGCTTTTCTGTGTGTCGGTAAACAAAAACAAATTATGTGGAATTTTTTTTATTATAGGGTGTGGAACCTGGATTTGTTCCAAGTGTCCAAGATTTTGATAAAAAACTTACAGAAGCTGATGCTTACCTACAAATTTTGATAGACCAATTGAAGGTACATTAACCCTGTAACAACTGTATTATAGATTTAAGTAATTTTCTAGTGATGATATACTTTATTTTCTTCCTAAAATTCAGAAGCTATAATTCTGTTGCAGATTATGCCAGAAATGGGAACAGCGTACATTTTTAGTTTGAATTTTGAATTTATTTTCTTGAAAAGCAGTTTTCTAATCTTTGTTTCAAAATATGAAGATAGTACAGTATGTTGGCAGTTCCTGCTAAAAGAGATTAACTCTAAGAAGCCTGGGTGGAAATTAATATCTGAAGACTTTCACAATATAGTCAGGTTCTAAGAACAACAATGTAAAGTTTGCTTAAGTAAAATCTAAGGGTGTGCAAATCTTAGTTTTGTAATACTTAATTAGAACTGAAAATCAGACAAAACCTAAAAGAACTCTCTACTTAAAGGTTTAATTTTTAATGAGGCTTTGAACCTGGATATTCTAGTACATGTGAAAAACCTTGCTCTGATGTTGGATAATTTATTTAAATAAATTTTTCTTTAGAAAATGTGTCTTTTTTTGCATTACATTGTGTGTGTCATGATTAATCTGAGATGCCATAGATTACAAGTCTAAATAGAATTAACTTAGTTCCTTATCAAGTAGCTCATATATTTGATTTTGGAAATGAAGTAAATATTTGATAATAAAAATAGGAGAAGCAGTATAATATTTTATTTCTAAAGAAATGATTTTGAAATGTTTTCTTGGGATATTAGCTTGACTTGAATATATCATCATGTATAGTTTGCAGGCAGGGGCATCCATGGGGGTGTTAAAAAAGTGTCCAGGTAGTAGTCATGATCAAAGCTCCACTTCTTTATCCATGGATGTGACATCGATGTGCATACAAAAGGGGCAGAACTATGGCTCCCATTTTGATGTTTTTAACCATCCCCATGGATGCTCCTGTTTGTAGTACTATGCTGACCTTTCACATTTTGTTTGTAATGTTTGATCAGAGTATATTCCTATTCCTCACCCTCCATGGTTGTGCTTTACACTTGCAGTGAAAGTAAATGAGTTTATGAACTAATGGGAAGCATCAGTTTGTTTTAGATGAAAGCTATATTATTAAAGCCACTGGTAATATGAATATTATTTTTGATAAGACAGATATAAATTGTACTTGATATACAGAAACTAATGTACCCTTTAAAGTGATTTTTGTCTTGTTTGAATTATTAAAGTCCTTCTCATATTTTTAACAATTTTCTTTTTCTTTCTTAGCTCTTTGATGAAAAGCTTCAGAACTGCAGAGATGATGATCAGAGAAAAGCAAGTATATTTTTTGTACAGATGCCCTTAGAGTACATATTTCTTTCTAAGATGCAACTTAGTGGTATTTTTCTGTTTAGCTAATAAACACGATATATGTTATAGTTTTTTTGATTTGCTAGAATGGAAAACACTTCTTACAATAATTTGGAACTAGCCTTTAGTTGCTCTGTTCCTCTGGAATATAATTACAGATAGACTTGAAACCAAGTTTGGAGAGTCCAAGAAAAACTGTAAAGGTTTCTTATCCTTTTATTTAAATAAAACTTGCAGTTGGGAATAACTTGCTCTCATTGTGTGAACTATTTATCATGCACTGTTAGCACAGTTTATCTGTGAAATTATTATACATAAGTTCTTTGATTATAATTTGTCATGACCAGTCTTCCCATTAGAACAATTTTGGAATTTATTTTTAGTAAGATTGCAGTGAATTAGAGAGTAAGCGAAGAAAAAATAGTGATAGAATAATAACAAAGTATATATCTAATTCAAATAAAATAGTCACTTGTATTGATTTATATCTGTTCCTCAAAGCTCACTGTGACATACAGAGTGGTCCTTCCTCTAGTTTTTTACCACACTTCTTCAGTGAGGTCATTAAAGTTTTGCTTACAAAAAAGGCAGTGTTTATTACTTTCTGTGCAGCTCAGAAGGAATCATCACTGTGTGGATAGACAACTCTCTCCATTCTCCTTACCACTTTAAACTTAGTGCTTGCAGCAGAAGACATTTGCTGCTAACTCCAGCACTGAGTTCAATGGGGTAGGAAAGATCACATGCGGGATGTTAACACAGGGCTTGCAGCAGGAGTAGAAGCTGTCTTTTGCTTTTCCCAGTTTAGAAGTTTGTTTTTTTCTGGGCTGGGAAACAATAGCATGGAATATTTCGTGCTGCAGGTGATGTATGCAGAACCCAGTTGGTTCCTTTGAACCTTTCTCTCTGCCTTTTCCCTGCCACCACTGCCTTGGGCTTGCCTGCTTGCTTTTCCCTTCTTTCCGGGAGCCCTAAAGCAACCCAAGGTATTTTATGCACATGGTTGCATGCACATACTTGTGCATGTACCTGCACAACTAAATTACGAACATAACTGAGTTACCATCAATTTTTTGTTGCCTGAGTGTACTAGGATCTTATACATAGTGGGATATTGACTGCCTGGAAGACTTGCTTCCATAAGATTGATATTCCCATTACTGAAGCAAAACTGAACTGAATGGGAGGGGTGGTCCTGCAGTAAGCCATGTGGAGCCCTGCAGCTTGTCAGCCTCGCTCAGGATCTCCCTCCATGCAACATAGATTATTTGTATTGGAGGTTTTATTGTGTTTTCTGGTGGAAAACACCACTTTCTTGCTGGACCACCTTCCTCTGACAATGAGATACTGTGAGGATATGTCTTTTCTAAGAGGTAAGTGCTATCTCAGAGCTGTTAATATTACATGAAATTAACTAAAATAAGAAACTGTTTGTATTTAGAACACAGTAATATGCAGATTATAAAATACGCTTTAAGATAGTTTTTCTCAACCTGATTCCCTTTAGTTGTGGTTGATTGCAATTCAGAATTCTTACCCAATATGGACAGAGACCAGTTGGCTGAAAATTATGTGAATTGTGGTCCAAAGCATTGGCAGGGTGCTAGGTGGGGAAAGGGTGTCTTAGATAGGTTGAGAAAAACTGTCTTAGATATTATATAGGTGCTTTTTTCTCATTATGTAATCTCTTCAGAGGGCTGTGACCTTGTAATTACTTATATTCTAGTCTTTGTTGTAATGGCTGATTGATATTATAAAGGATGATAGCTGATTTCTTCTCTGTGTAGCATTCAGCATTTAAAAGGCTGTCTGTTTCAGAAGAAAAAAGGTCAGATTGTTGTCATCCCTTAATTTAACATCATGAATTCTGGTTAACACCATGAATTCTGATTTTTTTTTTTTTTTAACAAATCCACTGACCCAAGATGAGTAACAAAATCATCAGCTATTTCCAGTAGAAACATGTTTTGAATAAAAGTTGTTGAGCTATCATTTAAGCTTTTTCTGCCTTTATGGAATTTTTAAAATGACTTACTGACATAATTGTTGTGCCTGTAGAAGAAATAAGTAGAAGGTAAAATAACCTCTGCTGAGCATGAATCTTGATTCAACATATTATGACTTGAAAATGCAAAAGAATTATTTTAAAATTGTCAAATATAAGATGCTGAACAAAAATGTTCAGCAAAATTAATTATAACTAAAAGACTCTAATGTAGCTAAAACTAGCTATTTTTAAGAGTCTGTTTGTTTATTTATAGGTGGAGTTGGCAGTATAAACAAAAAATAAGTTTCAAAAGTAAGCACAGAATAACTTTACAGAAGAAAGCTACTGGCACAACAAGATTTGCTGAGTGTGCTGGCAAGTTGTAGAGTTTGCATTCTAGCGGCTCATTATTAAGGAAAAATAATATAAAATTCATTTTGTAGTAATGGAAGATATCTTTTGGTAAAGCACATATTTTGGCTGGAATCTGCTTGAGATCCCAGAGAGCTGTTGCAACTTGCCCATCTGAGTTTGCACTGTTCAGTTTTGTAGATAATGTTTATTTTTGGTTAGAGATAAACAACAAACAGTATTAATCATCTTGAAGACTACCATTTTTACCTTGTTTAAAAAAAAACTTTTTTTTTTTATGTATGTGTTTGCAGAAGATTGAAAACCTCAGAGAAACAACCAGTGTAAGTTTTTGTTGTTAATCACTATGCACTTGAAATCAGACTTTCTCTATCTGATTCCCTTACAATGCGTTGGAATGAACAGGGCCAGGTTGAAGAAGGATGATCTAAAATATTTTTAAAGTCTTGTACATATTCATGTACATATTCATCTTTAACAATGTGTTTACTAGTAGAACACTTTAAATGAAGTGGTATGGTTACCCTCCTTCCACAAGCGGTTTGTACTGTAATGCTTTGTATGATAAATCAATGGAGAAATGTGAAATAGCTGATTCACATCAGCAAGAATAATTCTCATATGTAGTGGTCCAATTTTATTGCATTTTCTATTATCTTCCAAAATAAGTAAACAACAATGTAGATTTAATATATACAACTATAAGACAAGGTCTGTCTTTATTAGGTGGCTATTGGAATAGTGTCTTTTTAAAGTGAAATCACTTATCAATACCTTGTTTACCAATAACTATTAATGACTTGTTTACCAATAAGTCTTTTATACACGTGAAATATTTAACATGATTATTTGCAAGTGCAAGCAATATTTTTCCCCAAAGTACAGTACTGGTCTATGGGATTGCATGCTTTGGGAACAGAGCAGAGCAGGACAGGACAGGACTTGGCATAGAGCCAGCATTTTTGTAGCTTCCCTTTGGATGTTTTCCTCAGTCTGCTCCTTTCTGTCAAGTAGGCACTGAAGGGTTTTCTCCCTTAATTTGTCTGAAATTGGAGGCATAAGCAATGGGCCCTATATAGTAAATGTAGAAGAGGAATTAATTTTTAAAACTCTGAAGTATGTCCTCAGTCATTCATTTACGTATAACTGTTTTTAGATATTTATAACAATATCTGAAAAATAAGTGCCAAATTGGTAACATTTTCCAAGTATTCTGGATTGCTTTAATTTTTTTTAAATAATTAAGCTTTTAGAAAAAACTTAAATATTTATTTTCCCTCCCTTAGAGCATGGTCGAATCAATAAAACACTGTATTGTGCTGCTGCAGATTGCTAAAGTAAGTATCTCTAGCAGTATCAGGTAGTAGAAAATGTTCTTTGGAGAAAAAAAATTATGTTCTGTTTGTTATGTTATAGTCATACTGTGCAATTTAAGAACTTGAAGGGAGGTGTTTGTATGTGTGCACCATTTATGTCCCATTATCTTGCTTTCTTAGTGTGGATTATTAATAAACATAAATTCCTTTGTATTTCTAACAAATATTTCATGATTTGAGCTCCTGAAAACATTCATAGTACATAGTCCTATGACAGAGTTGGCATACTCAGACAATATACTCTTCATATTAAATTGATGGTGAACATACTTAACATTCTGTTATGGGAAACTACTATTGGTTTGTGGAGTATGGGACTGACTGCATGGAGGAAAAAGAATAGTAGAAGCCACCTTGCATATGTAGGTTTCCACTCACACAAGTTTGGCTTCTACCTATCTCCTTAAATGTTCAGATGCAACAGCCTCTGGTTAGTTCTGCACAAAACTCCAAGCTGAAATAGGAAGAAATAAATGTTAACTCTTTTTTTCCTGAACTGGATTGCAAATAAATAGTATGAATTTGAAAGAGTGAAATTGAAATCTGTTGTGTTCAAGGGCCCATCTTGACTATTGGTTTCTCAGTATACTGATAATAGATTTGAAACATTTCACCTGTTCTTCATGGAACTTGGGACATAGAATTGATAAAACGGGGCAGTTTTGTAGGCAATGATTGCATATGTATAGTTAAAGTCCTTACTCTCCAAATCATTTTGCACGTACTAGTGAAGTAACATTTTAAATGTATTTGCTATCTTTAATGGGCCTAATAATTACTAAGCTCTGGCACAGAAGCTCCTGCAATGTCAGATATAAAAAATCCCATTTAGTTTTGTGGGGCAACTTAAAAATCCTTACCATAAACTGTGGTGGTAGTTTTGGTGATGTATGCATGTATGTATATATGTACGTATCTATTTTTGGTCAAAAACCAAAAGAACAACCATGTGTAGTATAATCAGGTAATATGTAGTACAACAATTAAAAAAAATGATTAATGTTGAGAATGAAATTTTTGGCAAACCTTCAAGCAAAAGATAGCTGATACCACGGGTTGGAGCCAAGTGCAAGCCCAATGCCTTCTAACCTCAGTTGCAAAAGAACAGAATTTAGTTATTTCCATAGAAATGGCTGTATACTCAGTGCACTTGTGCCAAAATACATTTTATCAATTCTTCTAAGAAAATTATTTTATGTAAAATTCTGGCGTAAGGAATTGACATGAGGGAGAAGAGATGCTTGCTCTGGGGAGGTGGTAGGATAAAGTATACGCTGGTAAGGATAGAGCATTATCTGCAAAACTACAATAACCATGAATAACATTCTTGAAATAATAAAAGATTGCTACAGAGGAATGGTAAAGTATTACTGATATTTTAAAATTTGGAAAATATTCCTTGTTATGAGCAGAACAATTAAAATATGACAAAGTGTTGTTAGGTCTGTTCAGTTAAATTTAAAATAAAATTATATTGGAAGGCAAGGATGATTAACAGCAACTTATTTAGGTATTAGTTCAAAGTAAAGAAATGTTAATCTTTCTATTTATATATTTTGAAGAGTTTTTTTATTTTGTTTGTTTCATATGTACAACACTGTTAAAACACATGATGATTATTCAGGATATTTGTTTTATTGAAATATGGAGTTTTTTATATACTGAAGTAATAAAAAATATAGCTAAGTTATTTTATTAAGAATTATTGTAGGGAAATACCCTAGTTATTAATATTGCTTTAAAATTAGGTTTATCCATAAATATTTTTAAAACATTCTTAGGAAAGAACTTTGAAGAAAGCTTGTCATATGCTCCTTAATCATAAACTGTTAGTATCTTTTATGACATAAATACAAAGGTAGTCTATATTGTACAGTCATATTGTGATAATGTTCTTCATTTATATCAATAATTATAATTTATCTGAAAACTTCATAAACTATGTATATTATTAGTTTTTTTTTTCCAGTAGAGAAATATAAGAATTTGTATTTTAGCCAAATCTGGCAGTCTTTGTGTGCTAATCAAACCTGACAGTTTTCCAAGCCAGAGAGAATTCTAGCACAGAGTCTATGCATTGAATATTTTCAGATTCTGAACTGTATTCTTTGCTGTTTTGACTGTGACAGTTTCTGATAGGGTGATGGGTTAAGAAAGACGATTAATAAAGCAGCAGCACCACAATGCAAATTGGGACTAAAAAGGAAGATGAGAAGGAAACTGGGCTGGTTGAGACCATGACTCTATATTTAGTTAGAGCCTTTAATATGGGACGTCTGTAGCATACTTGCAGATTGGCATTATTTATATGACTGCACCAGTACTCTTTCATTGCCTACTGGGATTAAGAAAAAATTACTTTGCCATTTCTAAGATTATGAAATCCTACTATGCTCTTAAACCTCCTTCCAACTTTAGATGTAATAATAATTTAATACATGCCTTATTTTTTCTAATTTGTCCACATATCTTAGTTCAAAGTTCTGTAGAAAGAGAGAACTGAAGAAAAAAGAGAGGCGAGGGGGGGATGAAGGGAAGAAAAGACTTATGTCAGTCAAAAAAACCCAAAAAAACCTCCCAACCTTCAAATGCTTTTGCCTTCTTCCTTTGCAACTCATGTATAATGCCAATCTTCTTTATTTTTGTTCTTGGCATGGATCATATTCTTCTTTCAGATGTATTTGTAGACATTACTGATACAAGTTTTTGCACTTCACTGATTGTAGTTCAAAACTGCTAAGACAAGATTTGTATTTGTTTCCCATAGCAATGTTTTCTTCGTTCCAAATACAGAAGTTTGAGTAGCAGTTTTCATTTGACAAAATGAGAAACTCAGCACTTGTAGAACTGAGTTTTCATGAAAAATGACTTAAGATAAATCCAAATAATTGCATTTCTGACTCCATCACAAGCCACCAAATGGTTTAATAAAGAATGTTATGCACTATGATTATCATGGGAGGTGGGGGGAGCATCCTTCCCTGAATAGTTTCCTGATTTTATGTTTAAACTTTTTTCTGTTCCCTGTTTTTTATACAAAGCTTGATCACTGTACATAATTACTGAAGAAATTACAGAGGATGTTCCATATATCAATATATTGCATTTTGAAAAGAAATTAATGTAATCAGGAATTCTAATTTCACAAGTATACATTATATAATAAATAAAAGACTGAAACAATTCTGTTTGGGCTGTTAGTGCTATCAGAATGGTATATACAGGCTGCTTTCCTTTAAACTCTCAGAGCAGAGAGATGCAGATGTTATATTATGCCATGTACCATATACAGAGTTTTACATGATGGGGTTTTACAGTTACAATCAGAACATGGTGCCTTCTGGTGTCACTGTAACTGAAAATACCAGATTAAGGCTATTAATTATTGTATTTATCTATTATGGTTGGTTTCCAGTATTCTGTTTTTTGTATATTACAACATTATTTAGAGCAGGGATGGACATTTGCAATTATACCTCAACACACCCGATTCTATACTGAAATTTGGGAGCAAAATGGCCAAAATTGAGTGGGACAACTTCAAGCTCCTTAGGAATTGTTTGATATGAGGAAGGGAACAGTGCCTCTCAGAAACCTCTTCCTCCAATTTCCCCCCTAGCCCCACCATGGAAGGAAAAGACCAAGAAAAAAAAATTAACCATGCCCCATTTAGCACTGGTTTGGTGTAATCAGACTGCCAGCTGTGACCATCCAAAAGATTAGAACGATGAAATGCTATCTCCTACTGTTAAATGTTGCCATTTGTGCTGTAGAGGTTATTTCTGAAGATTCTATTGACTTGCCTCAGTGAAGAGCTCTTAAAACACATTGAAGTACTAAATTCATGCTGAAATTTTAGGTATCAACAGCATTTAACTTGGCTCTTCATACAGTGCTGACAGTCTTGAGTTGTCATTGGCATTCTTGCTTGGTATTTCTTTATGGTGTGTTGGGAAACAGATCTGGAAGTGATCTAGAAGAGATTTAGTATTGTGTCTCCTATTGCCATTCGGTCAGCAAGGGAGATCATCGTAGGATGATTTTATGGGGTAATGCAAAGCGAGTCATACTGGGGGAAAAAACCACCAAAATTCATCATAGGACAATACCTTAATTTGCTGAAAAGATTTACTAAGTTCTGAGGTCTTCTAATGAGAAGAAGAGGATTATTCAGTGTCATAATTGCTTTGCATGGGGTTGGGTAAAAGTGCAGTAATCTATTCTCTTTGATTAATTTGGATAATTTCACTAATTTGGCTAATTTTGCTTCATGAAAGGAAAATTGAATGCCTATTGTAACATGTTGATTAACCTGGAATTGTACCATTATATCTGTAACTACAGTGGCTTGCCACATCCTGCAGTTTGGATGTATTTCACTCACCCAGAAGAGAGCATTTGAGCATAAGTGTAAAAGAGCATGGCAGGAAGCAGTCTCACCAGTTTGTTTTCTGTTAATGTTTCTACCATTCTATTGATAGCCAAGATCTCCTGTCAGCCATTTTGTGAAAATGCCCATAATTTTCAAGGAGAAAACCACACCCCCACCTAAACTGGCAGGGCAAGCTACTGTATATAAACAGAGAGCAAACTCCACCCTCACTCACACTGACGATGTTACCTAGTTGGGTAATGAAACGTCTGCAAGCAAACTACCAAATTCAGAGAGCACCAAGGACTCCACAGTCCTTGTATAGCAACAACAGTTGGGATTGGCTTCAGCATTCCTTTGTTTTACAGACTTACCAAGATTGTAAATGTGAGAATTGGTTATAAAGTTACTTTTTCATCACTGTCATAACTATGAATGGTTGCTAAATGAGGCAGTTGCTAAGCGATGTTTTTCTGTAATTGAATGTCACAAGTAGGCATGTTAGTCAGTGCATGGAAAAATCCAGATAGATTACCACACATAACCAGTGCAGTCATAGCCATAATTAAAAATGAACTACATAGTATAATTGCTTGAACAGTTCCCAGTCTCTTATTACTGTATGGTGTCTATATAGACATTAACCATGTTAATCTAACTCCAGAAGGACTCATCAATTTGCACATGAAAATTAAAAGATAGGGCAAAGGCTGATCCTTTGCTCCTAAACTTGATTAAGATCAAATTAGTGTTACACCAGCTGTGGCTTACAGTGTTACTGTTTGCAAGGGGGAAAAAAACTTGTGGCAAAATCCATCTTGAATACAATGCTGCTACTAAGCCACTAACCATCATTATGTGGTCATTGATAATGGTTGCAAACACTTTGCTTTCTTTCATTTAAAGATCTTAAGAGCAAGAACAGTGGAACAAAGGTCCAGTCATAACTGCTTTTTTGTGTATATGGTATCACAATATTATATTAAATGTTGTGCAAAACATCACAATATTGTGTTGAAACAAAAAAACTTGCTCAAACCCTGTATGTTCTCTCTTTCTGCTGATCCTCTGTTTTTCATGTGATGGGAGAAGACAGAATAAGTCTTTTTTTTTTTTTTTTTCTGGTAAAGGACTCTGGTTAATCTTAAAACCAAATTGGGTTGGTTAGTACTTACATGAGAGATCATCAGGAAATCTCAAGGTTGTAGGTTAGATGAGGAAATCAAAAAAGTATCCCGGAGAAGGTAATAGCAAATAACTTCTCTTGCTGTGAAGAAAACCACATGGATGTCATGAAATCAGCAGGAGTCAAGTTTGGCTCAAAGGATTCTTTATGTAAAAGGAAAGACCAGAAAGAGTCAGTGAATGGAGAATAGCAGAGGCCATCTTATCCAGAATTCCCTCAAACTGCCATTATTTTTGCTTGTATATAGTATTTATGGTATGTGATTTTTCTTTGGAGATTTTCAGGAATATTGTTTCTGAACTCAAAAAGAACAGGACACAGGAACCTTTTGTAGGAGTTCTAAGAATTTATATGAATGTACCTTTTCATTATTTTTAGCAATTCATGTCTTACAGATGCATTTTGGTGTGGCTTTTAAATGGCAGACCCATTTGCTACAAAGAATCTTTTTGTCTACTTCCAAAATAACTGTGAATTTTTAATGCAAGTTTCTAATGAGGAAATTTTCCTTTCAAAAAGTATAATGATAATTTCTTAAGAAGAACATGAATCTTATAAAAAGAGCATAAATTACATTGATGACAAATTATTGTGTTAATATTTGTAACATTTTTCCTTAAGGACCAAACTAATGAGGAGAAGCACGCAGATGGACTTATAGTAAGTTTAAATGTAATCTTTTATTTTATCTCTGCAGAGCTTTAAAGCTACAGTCATGTGAACACAGGGACTTAAACCTCCACTTTTCTTTCCTTCCTTTCTCTATTTTTTTTCTTTCTCTTCCTGAAATAAGTGTTTCATTTTCAGTATCTTGTCAGTGTTCTAAAGCTTCTAAATTCCACTTTTTCTTCTTATATTAGATACTGTTTGTTTCCTATTAGTGAGCCAAAATTAAAACTGCCAGTATGAATGGAAAGAAATTGGAGTGATAACTTAATAATTGAAGTGTCTGATGTGCCAGAAATTGTGATTGTTGTCAGAATGGAAACCTCTTGTTTAAAAACATAATTTGTGCATCACGTATATGTTCTGTGCCTACAATGAAGCCCCACCAGTAACTTCTGATAGCTGAGAACCTTTTGGTAGGAAATAAGTCTGTACAACATTAGGAAACTCTCTCTTAATCTTCCTGAACCTGTGTGTGGAACACTATATCCTACTGCCAGGCAGGCTAGATCAACTCTTTATGGACAGAAGAAAAGTGTATCATCCAGACTTTCAATCTCTACATTTACAGTATGGTGGTTGTGATTGACAACATTTGTGGTTCAACTTAAAAAAGTCAACTGAATTCACACTTCTTTATATTGAATAAAGTAACAAAATAATATAAGAAGCTTTACTCTCTGAAATTAGTTTTGCCTCAGGCTGGGCTTTGGGAGTATTTGTCTAAGGTTATAACTTAAATTAATTTTTGGAGATTATTCTTGTGGCTGAATTAACCACTTGGTTCCAGTTATATCTCTGTTCCTTGCCCTAACCTTCTTTAGATGAAGTTTGTTATTTAACCCTGTACATCTGATAGTTGGAAAATTTATTTGGATAAAGAGCCAGAACTTCCCTCTGACATGTTCTTCTATCCAAATCTCCCAATACCCTCTTTCCTACTTGTCAATGGATTTAACAGTACAATTTGACAGTTTGACAATTGAATAGGAAAATTGACAATTGATAAAGTGATAGAAGTGATTTAAAGGGGTAAAGTACCTGCCAACTAGCTGTCTTATGACACAAAGTAGCATTGATTTTCTGATTCATGCAAGCATACTCTGTGTAAATTCATTCAACATCAGCAACACTGACCATAGGGATGTCACTGCCTGACCTCTACAGAAAGCCACTTGGTTGAAATCCTTGACTTTTATCCGATATTACTGGCTTGACTCATATACAACAGCAGATACTTGTGTTTGGGTCTTCCTCAGTGAGGTTCTGCCCACCATCATCCTATAAGTTTGCTGCTCTCCTATATGTGTTGCACACAGAAACTGATGAAGAATATTGTTTACCTATAATTGTGACTCTTCAAGTGATCATCTGTCATCTTTGGTAATATATCCTCCTTTTCTTCTAGTGATTGAGTAGATAAGCTCTCCTGGTTCAATTGCTACTTCAGTGGTCCTTAAAAATTGAAAGGACATAAAATTCCCAGTGTGCATGCATAAAATATTTCTTCTTGCTAAGCTTATTTTCCGCTGTAGAAGGTTCTAGATTAGACTAGCAGAGATGAAGAATCCATATGAATCAGGGAATTCAAAGAACTATAGTAACAGATAAGCAAACTGTTCTTTGAGTTTCCTATATAGATGGTATTGCGCTTTTTTAGAGTTCACCAACAGTTCTATATATAATTCTGGATGTGTTCTGTGATTATGGGTCTGTTTACTGAGGTTCTTGGAGTTAGGGTACAGGTAGTCCTTGGGTTACGACAGCAATTGGGGCCAGAATTTCAGCCACTAAGTGATATGGTCATAAAGCATAATGTCACGTGACCACATTGCTTAGCAACAGCAATTCCAACAGTCCCAGTTGCCGTCATAACTCCAGGACTGCGCGGATCATTAACCAAGGATCTCACGTGACCACAACATGGGAAGAGGCAGGAGTCCCAGGCAAGCAGGCTGGTGGACAAGAGCTGCGGGTGAGAGCAGTGGGTGGATGCCATGGGCAGGTGCTATGGAGTATATGTGGGTGTCATGGGCAGGTGCTATGGAATGTGCATGGGTGGGTGCCACAGGCAGCTGCTATGAAGCAGGGCAGGTAGATGCCGCAGGCAGGCGCTATGGAGTGTGGGCAGGTGGACGGGTGCCACAGGCAGGCGCTATGGAGTGGGAGCTACTTGCAACCTCCTCCCGGCTTCCCCTTTGACTTTGCTTGTGGGAAGCTGGCAGGGAGAGTCACAAATGGTGATCCTGTGACTGTAGGATGCTGCAACCACTGTAATTGTGAGCCAGTTGCCAAGTGCCCAAATCACGATCACGTGACTGTGGGGATGCTGTGATGGCCACAACTTTGCAGACTGGTCATAAGTCCCCCCTCGTTCAGTGCTGTTGAGTGGTCATAACCCAAGGACTACCTGTATGCTAACATGTTAACATTCACGTTTCTGAGTTTTTTATTTATACTTCATGGAGATTATCAGAATTCTGTCTTTTGGAGCATTTATTAGAATGAGAGTTACTGTATAAAGATAAAACTTGCAGTATCTTGTATTTTTCTTTTTATAATCCTACACCAATACTGCTTGAAAGTTCATATTAATAGAGCTTCATAACAAATCTACATATCCAAAATGTGCTTTATTTTTTAAATGGAGTCTTAAGTTTTATTATGGATATTTAAACAGAGAAATTCAAAACAGTGTGCATATCATTTAGCAGTTAATAACAGAATTACCTGTGAAACTTCTTCTTTTCCTCTGTGTTTGACATAAAGGGATTGAAATATTTGCTTGTTATTGTGTTTGGATATGGCAAACTGTAATTTGCCAACAAAGCAGAATCACAAACAGTGGCTGCTTGTGCACATAATGACAATCATGATTTAGCATTAAACTTAAGGGATGTATATTGAATGATTATGCTAATGTACCAACTCAGAGAAATGTGCAGTTCATTATTTGAAGAGAGTAAGGGTTTAATTTTCTTTAGTGCAATAGATTGGTAGCTTTATAGCTTTAAATAGCGGTTTGATATCTTTCAAGTATTTAGGATCCAAATTTCAAAATCAGGACTGTGAATTGAACCTGGAAGCAACCAGTGGAACCTGTGGAAAATTAATGTTACTTCAATGGGCAATATTGGATCAATTGAATCTTTAAGGTGGTCTTGAAGAGCAGAACAATGTAGATATCATTATGGTAATTAACTTTCAATGAAACCAAAGTATTGAGCCCAGCTGATGCATTAGACAACATTAAACAAGTAGATAAAATCTCAGTCCAAGAATAAACCCAAATTTTGAAGCTGTTGTTTCTGGAGTAGTAAACCTTAAATCTTAATTCAAGATCATCACTCCTAATCTAAGAGTACTTTCATCTTGTGTGGGTTAATTTTCCAATGTGATTAATGTAGGATTAATTCAAACACATGAGTCTGAATATTTTCAAAAAAGAAGTAGCGTTTAGAAATTGCATGCTTGGATCAGTTCAATAATATAAACAGCCAGTATACTTTTATTTCAGAATAAAATAAAATGTAAAATGCATGATTCTTCTGTAACCTGTCTTCTGTCTGTCATATAGTTCTTTTTCTGTACAAGTGTAACCATAATACATGAAGTGGGTAAGATGAATGACATTTGGGTGTTTGAAAAAGAGAATTTTGGTAAGCTATTTAAAGTTTACCTTAAAAATATAATACCATGTCTGTTGAATTCTTACAAGGTTTTTTTCCTGTTTAACTTGAAACACTTAACTCTTTTACAACTTTGGTTTTATGACTGAGAAATTGAGATATTGGCATTATGATGATTTGGTTGGAACAAGGGTTGTGGAATGGGTTGGAAAATTTCCAGAACAGTTTTCCAGCTCTTGATCCTTACTGCTGATCTTCATCAAACAATCAATTTTCACTTCTCTTGTGATGTTAATTAGAAAGACCACAATTTTATTTCCATGATAGAGATGATATAGGATGATATTAGTCTTAATATTAGTCAACTACTTTAATTTTATAGATAAGGCCCTTCCTAAAATTAAAATAATTTAATTGGAATTAGAACCTTGGTAGTACTAATGGTAACCCCATTTTGTCAACTAGCATAATTTTAGGCACTGAGATAACTGTTTGCTGCTTAGCATTAGTTACTTTTGTATTGTGCTTTGTAAGGTATCATTTGGTTTTGTACTAATCTAAGAACAAAGAGGAAATGAATAGAGAAAATATCATATGAGCATCCTGGAAGTAATAAAATACCAAAAAAAAATCATGATATACAAGATTCTACTATATGTCTAGTTTATAAATGTTCTTGGAATATTTCAGATTTGATTCAAATACAGTTCTTTTGTAAACAAAGCAACAATTTCTTCACTGAAAATAATGGACCATCATTGATTCCTTCTTTTCCAATTTGTAATTGTCATCTGACTTTATCATTTGGTGTAGATTAAAGCTGTTCAATTTTAAATAACCTATTCAGTTATACTATAACTGTTCCCAGTGTATGTTTTTTAAATAACTGGGACCTGGAAGTTCTTTAGCTTTTTTATTTCTAGAATAGTGTCCAGCTCACCAAGGTAGCTATATGGTAGACCTTCGGGTTCAAAGAAGACACACTGTTGTGCAGTTCATCTGTGGACACAGAGGTGGCTCTGCAGTCCCAGTCTGGAAGCGCAGAGTCTAGCACAATGGTGCAGTTCATCTGTGGACACAGAGGTGGCTCTGCAGTCCCAGTCTGGAAGCGCAGAGTCTAGCACAATGGTGCAGTTCATCTGTGGACACAGAGGTGGCTCTGCAGTCCCAGTCTGGAAGCGCAGAGTCTAGCACAATGAGGACACTGGAAGTCCATTGCTGTAGTAACTGGGTGTTATTCTGTGCTTTGCACTACTCACTGTTCATTCTCTGAATAATTCATTTTTATTATGCACAGCTAGCACTCTTGCTTTTAATTTCTGGAAAAAAACGTGTTTGTGCTACTCTTGAACAACTGCACTTTCTCTTCATCTCTTCAAGGACTCTCCTTTATTTTTTTATTGCTGATTCTGACTACTGGAAACATGCTCTGTTTCCCCATTTCTGTATGAATTGAGTTGTTATTTTTCTGGTTTATTCTTTTGCTTTGATATTCAAACTTCTCCAATTCTAAGCAAATACTACTGGAGTTTCCTAATGTTTAAATTATTATTTATCTATTTGCTCTGAATTTAACTTGATTTACTTTCCTCATAGTACATTCTGCAAATTGCAAATATAGATTATATTAGGTTTTCTGAAACACTAGAGGTATTATTGCTTTTCAGCTTGGAAACAATGTATTTAGAATTGTGCTGCTAATGAAGTAGAACTGATTCCTATCTGAGTAACTGAAAACTGCATCATAATATGGCAATTGTGTGCTGTTTCATATAATGCTGATGTGGGGAATCTGTGGCCTTCAAATGCTCTGAAATACAACTCTCAGCAGTCCAGCTAGTATGGTCAGTTGTGATGAATGCTGGGACCTGTAGTTCATCAATAACTGGAGAGCCATAAGTTCCCAGTGCCCAATACAAGGGAATTTCTATACAAAATAATCCAATTCTCATAGTTTTCTTCCCCTTGAGTTTAGTCACCCAGCTGAATGTTAGATATATGATAGAGGAAGACATGGAATCTTCTGTTTACTAGTATAGGAAATAGCTAGTTTGATACAGTAGTTGTTTAACTAGGTAGAAACTTCACTGACTTTTTTTCTTTAGAACAACAGAACTTGATGTCATATGTTAATTACCTGATTTTAATAGAAAGGTTTCATTCCTACGTCAGAATTTGGCCGTGAAGATGCTTTAAAGAATTATTTAGTCTGACAATTTCTTTCAATAAAAGAAGTCAAAAACGGAGAGTGGTGAAGAGTTATGTTTCACCACAGAATAATGCAGTGTAGATCAAGCAGTGTTTTTTTTTTTTCCCCATCTAGTCTACCTGAGCGCTCATGATCAGGCTGAAATACTTTGTGAGTCTGACAGTGTATGTTTATAGTTGGTTTTCAAGATGCTTGACAAATTCTTTCAACATTGATTGGTAGTATTGTTGGGTTGCATAGCAAAATAAAAATAAAACTCTATCCCTGAATTACTTCTAATTTTTTCATGTTGCCAAATTAAACTTTAAAGCTGGGAATCCATGGCTTTATAATACTAAAGCAACTAAATTAACTTTAATGTACTATAACCATTATTTTTATAGACTATTAATGTCATAGAAGCATTTAGTTTTGTGTTTCTCTCAGGACTGACTTCCTGCACAGATCATATTTTAATGTGCTTCTCAAAAAGAGTTGACCCTGTTTTTTATGTCACAGAGCACTATTAATCCTGTTGATGCAATATATCCACCTAGTCTCTTGGAATCTTCAGTGAACAGCACAATGCCTACACAGACTGTCTTACCTCCAGGTATAGTATTTTTAAAAATCGTATATTGTTTATAAGCTAATACCTATTAAATGTTTTAAAAAATAGTCTCACTTATTTCCATTCATTTTCACAAAATGCAGAAAGGACATGGCTTGTGACATGTGGAATTGCCAATGCATTGTAAATTTAAATGGAATTTCGTATGTTTGTTCACATTCTCAACCGGTCTATAAAAGTTTTGTCCATATAGTGGAAGTGACATAGTAGAGTGAACAATATTTTTGTCTCCACTTTTCCAACTTACCCTGCTACTGTATTTCTGACATTTTGCAGCAAATACTTTGCAGTCAGACTTTAGTACCTTAAATAACTTGGAAGAAAAAAATGGTTTCTGTACCACAAGAATCCAAAGATATATTTTCCTTTAATTGCTCTTTGATTCCTCTAGTTAGCCTTCAAACCTTAGTCTTATCTAGTGTTTATTTTCAGAAACAAAACTTTCCCAGGACAGATTTTCTTTCAGTTAAATCCAAAATCACTTACTGTATTTTCTTCGACATTTAAAACAATCTTTTAAAAAGCTGTTTGAAATCCATCTAGCCTCTTCACTGTTCCCAATCAGCATTCTTAATTCCCTTTCACTGTTTCCAAGCATTAAAATATTTCTTTTTGATCTTTAAACTTACTTTAATCTTCTTTCTCCAGGGTAGAAGGAAATTTTCCTGGAGTATAGCAACTTGCCTTTCAGGAGGTTTTTAATTCCCAAGTAAATCACAAATAGGCAGTTTTCGATGTTAATTAAAAGAGGAAGTGAAAGCAAATCTAGTGTCCTTTTGAAGGCTGTGCATGGTGGCTTGGGCTCAGTGTTTCTTCCTCGACTCCCAGAGTGCTCAGCCAGCTGGAGATTGCTAGGTTGCAATCTCTTCACAGGGATCCTCTGGAAGGAGTGCCTGTGGGTGATCCTGTCATCTCCTTCATTTGGAGGTGATTCCGAAGAGCTGATCCAATTGCCAGCTCCTCTAATTACTGCAGACATGGGGTCCACAAAAATGGAGCCCTATTCAATCTGCCATTTCTCCCCTAGAAGTCCCATGTCAGTGTCTCTTAAGCTATTCTTCAAAAAATTGAAAGTGTCCTGCAAGTACTTGAAAGGCTCTCAAGATCCTCATTCCTTTTCCTTGAGCATATCTTTGTGAAAAGTTGACTGTCAGCATTCAATACATCTAAGACCAGATAGCAAAAATAGGCTGAACATTTTACCAATTTTAAGACTTGACAAATCTCACAAATCAGTTATAAATCTTAATGGGATGCATGAGCTTGCATATAATAGGAAGTATGTCATCGTATGCAAGCTCACACATCCCATTAAGATTTATAACTGTTAGATAGCAGAAGAAATCAGTTTTTAATATGTAGACAGGAAAAGAAACCAGTGTGGCTATGCAAAAAACCTGATGAAGATCTGAAAATAAAAGCAGATAAATATAGGCAATGAAATGAAGGGCAGGTCATCATAGATTGCAAGTGGAAAAACTTGAACCATTGTGACATTATTAAGAAAATTACAACTCAAAATGAGCTGAGGTTGGTGAAGAATGCTAACAAAAATGGCTTATTTTGTTAATGTGCAAAATAAAAGGAAGAGAATCAGGATGCCATCTGTTCAGTGAAGACAGCAAAATACTAACAGATTGCAAAGAAAAAGCAGAGTAACTCAACTTTTGGTTCAGTCTCTTCCAACAAAAAAGTATGTGTTCTATCCGGAAGTCTAGGAGGAAGAGGCTGAATTGAAGTTTGATTTATATAAACATCATAAGGGAATACTGTCTAAATCTGAATTAGATTGTGGGTACTGAAGGGACTGGCTGATATACTTTCTATGTACTTTCCCTGAAATAGTGGACAATAGTGAAGTGCCTGATGATTGGAAAAGAATGAATGTCTTCAAAAATAGAAACATGAACAGTTAATGGAATTTACAGATATGTTAGTCTGATGTTGATACCTGGGAAAATTCTAGAGCAAATAAATGTTTTGCAAGAAAGAAAAAAGTGAAAAAAGCTAGAGTAAAAAAATAATGATAGAAAGAGATAGTATGAGTCCTATATGAAAAAGCATTAGAAAATAGGTTAATTTTCTAACTCAATGAATGGAGAGTGGATATATAGTAAGATGATGGAATATCATATGCTTGGAACAGAATGAAAAGAATTATGATATGGAAGACTCACAAAAGTGTCTAGTTATGCTAATGATAAAATGATGAAGTGGGAAAAGCTATGAAAAATGCATATATGATTATAGTGATATGATGATAAGATAAAATAAATCAAAATCTGTATAGAGGGAGGAAGATAACTGAATACATACTGTAAATGTACTCAGAGAACAAAAACTATTAAGTTCAGAAGAGGTAAAGAAAATACAGAATAATTCTGAGAGAAATAAAAAGGGAATGGAGGTGAATTAAAAGGACTAAATAAGAGACTTCAAGTAAAGTGAGTAGAAGTAAGAATAAAAGTATTGAAGTGATTTGCTTTAATGTTTTTCAGAACCAGCTCAACTTTGCAAATCAGAACAGCGACCATCATCCCTGCCTGTTGGACCTGTTGTAGCATTACTTGGAAACCATCAGACTCCAACACCAAATAGTACAGGTATAACATAATATCTTATCTTGTTTTTTAAATATGGAACTTTATTTTCATAGAATTTTTGTTTGTGAAGAATACAAGAATAGCTTTGCTTATGAAGGATGTTCTTTACTAGGAATTCTTTAAGATACGATTATCCAGAGCAGAGAATGGTGATCCTGCCTTGCTTCAAATGTCCTCAGTCCTCTTTGCAGGTGGCATTCCATACCTGCAATGTTACTGCTGCAAATGAAAGTTATTGATTGTGGCAGAATATAAATTAAATAAATAAATAGCTGCCTACCTTATCTAATTTGCTGTAAGAATTTAGAGAAGGGACCCTAAATGATGCTTTTTAGAGAGGATGCTTTTATGGTGTGGACAGATATATTCATAAAGATATGAAACTTGCATCTGAGTTATGTAGAATTTAAATGTTAATACCAGTACTTTGAATTTGTCCCAGAAATGGACTGGATACTATTGCAAACTACATGCTTTACATGCATACATAGTATGATTTTATCAGCCACTCCAAATTGGGAGATATGAGCAACTTTATTTTTAAAGTGAATTGCACACTTTTCACAGCATACTGAATTTAATAGTTGCCTAGCAAGGCAGATGTTTTGAAGGCAGGCAGGCAGGCAGGCAGGCAGGCAGGCAGGCAGGCAGGCAATAGTACTAATATCCTAGAACAGGGTAGATAACAATTTCAGCTTTGAGAGTACATTTGGAATTTTGAGAGCAAATCACTGACATTCTTGCAAAACAGCTGTTAGGCAAGATTTGCATACTCAAATTAGCTGTGTTAACGTGGCAGCCAATTGCAAAAAAAAAAAAAAAGGAGGGGTGTGTTCACTAGAAA